TATCTCTATAAGTTTCACGTGGGTCCCATGCTCTGAAGTTGAAATCCTGGATACGCCATTAGTTTGAATTTCATCGAAGTATAATTTTTACCTGCAACAACTTGTTTAACATCAGTAAATTCTGACCATACTCGACCGTTAAGTTTTTCATTATTTTCTTGAATATATTTGTCACGTTTTATCATCATTGTTCCAGTCGATGATGTTTCATCAATTGGTAAAACAAAATCTATTTTATTGCTAAAATAATAAATATTAATTAAAAACAAAAAAAAAGAAATTTTCTAATCGATTTATTTGTTTTTTTTTTGTTTGTCATTTTATTTACCCTTGATAAATTGATGAATCACTTTCAATATCAGTTTTTCGTCGATCAAGAATATTTTGATAAATATGACGATGACTATCTGATGTATCTTTATAACCACGTACAAGATATTCGATTTCACGCCATAAAAAACGATATGCTTCATCTCTATCAAATTAAATTTAACATTATTACATTCATAATAAAAAGGTTATTAAATTTTTCATATGATTTAATCACTTTTTCGAATTTCAGAAAAAAATTATATTTTCATGTGAGTCTACACACTTCGATCTGAAATTTCTATTAGAACCTTTTATATGAACAATCTCTTTTACCTCAAATAATTATAGATTGATTAGTTTAACGTTTTATACTAGTGTCCGATTCGGGTTACTATTGTCCATTTCAGAGTTAAATGGTTGTGAGCATTTTTTGAATAATTTTTTATAAGAATGAAATAGAGACCTGCAGTTTTCACCGTTGGAAGGAGGAGATGAAGACGCATTGAACCATATAGAGAAAGATTTTTTCTAAAAGTTTTAGTAAAACGTTTTCAAAGAATTACTTTATTCTTCTATGTTAAAAAAAAGAGATTTTTCTATGAAAATACTACAAAAACTTACATTTTTCGATTATTTTGTTGGAAAAAATGAGGCGATAAATTGTATCTTCGATGGTTTAGATATCTTACTAGTAGTAGTTAGCAATAGACTCTTGATATAGTTTTTTAGATTTACCGCAAGTCTCTATCTCATACCTATGAAAAGTTATTGAAAAAATGCCCACGGCCATTTAACTCTGAAAGGGACAATAACAGTTGACCGGTTTCGAAGTTTTTATAAGACAAATGGCAATTTCAGATGAGATAATGATTTCGTTCTTTCGAATATTGAGAGAGTTTTTATAGATACATTGAAAAGATTGTTAATCTGTGAAAAAAAACTCGGTTTTCTTAACAAAAAAAATCTCTTCAATCTCGGGTTGTGTCACGACTCATGTCGAATACTCATATTTTAAACATATTTCTCAAGTCTTCTAATAAGAAATCGCGATCTTTTATAATCTATAGGATGAATGTCTTAGCACAAAATACTGAATCATTTTTCGACCTGATTAGCATCAGAAATGGTTATTTACTCTTTACGGATAAATGTTCCGATTTTATTTCTAAGATAAGATTGAATAGCTATTAGTAAATTTTATAAACAAGTCGAACATAGTGTCTGAAAAAAGAAATATATCAATGTTAGTGCAATATTTAGTTTACGCCTAGGAACAGTTACCATAAAAACTTATTTCCTATATTGACTTTGATAGATTTCAATCGAAATATAAAATAGTATTCAACAGAACAATCAACTTTGATATATAATCATTAATCATAATACAAAAATGATAAATCTTTTTACTTTTTAGCTTTATTTGTAACAATTTTGGTTGTATATTGAAAATTATTTGGTACAGGTAATGATTCACCATTTCTTTCCATATTATCAACATATTTTAAAGTCATAAGATATTTTGATACATCATCATCTGATAATTTTTCACGTAATATTAAACTTGTTAAAAGATTTATTGGCTAAAATATAAAAAAAAGAATTTAAATACATAATAATAAAATATTAAATTAAAATTTTATACTGCTGGCATATTGAATAAAATTGTTTCATTTATTAATAATGGACATCGACGTGTATGACGTTCAAGAAGTCGAAGAGCTTTAAAAACAATTTAAAAAAAATTTTTTTTTTCATTAATATAAATAAATATTTACAATCTTCAATTGGAATTTTTCCACTTGTCATTGTTTCGACTGGATAAAGTGTTGTTGTACGTATTATATTAATAAAACTCTTTAGAAATAAAAACAAAAGATTAAAGAAAATCTATTAAAAGAAGAAAATCATTACTTCAACACGTAAATCTTTTTCTAAAGTATCATCATCAATTTCATCCATTAATTCTTCTAAATCATTTATTGATATATTATCTTTTTCATCAGTTACTAAATAAGATGGACCCATTTTACTCATTGGATTATTTGAACCAAATGCAATAGCATGTATCATTAATTCTTGATTATGTGATATAATCATATGTGAAAAAAGTCTATTTGTACTTGTTGTTGTTGTTGTTAATGTTAAATCATTATCAGATGTATTAAAACAATTTTCATCACCATATTCATTTATATTAATTGCACATTCATTTGGTAAATTACCAAGTTCAAGTAAAACACATTTACCACTTAATAAAAAATTAGTTAAACATGCTGATTCACGACTATTTACATCTAATGGTGAAAAACGATAAGCTGAATATGTATCATAATAATCTAAAAAATAAAATAATAATATCTATTTTTTAGTTATATGAAAATAAATAATATAAATCGAAAAAATTTACTTTCTGGATCATAAGAAAATGCACTCCATTTAAGAACAATTGTTTCAACATCATCTTTTATTTGACGCCAATATTTTAATGGTGCACGTTCACGTAAACTATGATGAACTTCAGCTGGATGAACAATATCAACATCATAATTTAAACTTGAACGTGAAGCAACATCTTCCTAAAATATTTATATTTTGTTTTACAAAAAAAAAGAAAAGAATTTTTTCTCTCTTTTTTTTTTTACTTTCATTGGAATTCCAGTTACAGTTGTAAGTGCTAAATAATGTTGTTTTAATAACATTTGTAACATTCGTGTAAATAACATTTGACCAGCTTGAGCATAATAAAATGTACGATGAAGAATAGAACTTATCTATTTAAATATATGAATATCATCAGATCATCGATTATATCAATCAAAATAAAAAAGACTTTTTTTTTTTATTTACTGAACGATATTCAGGATTTGATGTTGGTACTGGTTGATCAATTGATCGTACATCAACTAATGTTAAATCACATTTTGCTAATGGAACAAAACTAAAGAAAAATTTAGAATAAAACCAAGTGTGTTTTTCGTTTCTCAATTATAATCTCTAATTAATAGATAAATTTCACACTATTATGTATACGAAATAGTCTTCGGACACTGACATTCGTATTTTCTGCAACATAAAGACATTAACTCTATGAATAAATGTTATTTTTGTAGCGGTACGTTTCAATGTTTTAGTGAATACTAGTAACCATCCTTATGAATACTAAAGATATACGTGTATCAAATTCTCAATAATGCGAAATACAAAATGAAAAATAACTTGTAGAGATCGGAATTGAAAAAACTACTACTCCAATCAAAATTAGATATTTAATAGTTTTCAGAAAATTATCTTATAAAATCAATCAATGAGAAAATAATAGATTAAAGATGATTCAAAAAAATTGCTTGTTACTGAATTTGTTATTTAAATAATGATTTATTATTAAGAGTCAAATCATTTTGAGTAATAATTTAATTAAAAAATGATTTCACATCTCTGCTCTGACCTCTTCGCGCGTCTGAATAGGATCACTAATTGTCCTATATTACATGACTTACTTGCTCAAAATAGACAAGTAATTCAGAAGCATGAAAATAAAGAAAAAAGTTTGAATAAAATTCAATATTACGAAGAAGAATTCTTATCAAGTTTAGTAAGAGTCATGATATTGTGAAAGAAACAATATCCACTCGTAAATAATCTTTATCATTCTAATCAATTAATATAAAAATTTTGAATTATTCTCAATAATCTATTTGTTGAAAAAACTTTGTTTTAAAAAAATTGAACTTAATATTTACTCATTCATTTCAAGTGCCATATGATTATGAGATTCATGAAATATTTTAGCATCTTTTTCAATTGTTTCAATACGTTTACTAAAGATAAAAAATAAGAAATTCAAAAACAAAAACAAAAAAAACTATTGAATATAATTAATTACTTATTAAAAGTTGAAAAAAGAATAATATGTCCACTATTTATATAATCTGAATCAGTAGGAATATTTTGTTTTTTTGAACGTGTACATAAAGCTGTTATTGCTTCATTAAGTGAATGTTTTAAAAGATCATCATCATTTACTAATGGACGTTCATTTGGTGGTTGAATACCAGCAAAAAAATCCATACACTAAATTAACATCGTTTTTTTTTTTGTTATTTTATATTCTTGAAAAAAAAAATAATTTTTTACTTGTGAAAGATTTTTATATCGATTCCACCATGATGATTGATCACGTTGATCAATACCTGTGACAATAAGTGTTATCTTATTTAAAAAAAAAAAATAAAATGTTTCGAAAAACAATAGAAGAAAAATAAAATCTTACAAG